GACCCGTCAAAAGTTTTAGTTGTCACACAACCGGGCGGGCGCCATCGTTGGTAGAGAAGGCCTCCTTTAGCAGCGGTCGAATCCGCCCCCTCCCTCCTACCGTCACACGCCTTATCGTTTGCAGTGATCAGAACTGTAGCTACAATCATTGACACCACAATCCGTGAACTAAACAGAAATCGCAAAGATCTCAAAAAATAATGTCGATTTTATTTGGCGCATTTAAGGGCCACCATGGACGTTCCGACGGCAGTTTCACTCGGCAGCGGTCGCCCTTGAAAACGTTACATCCACAAGGATGAAGGAGGCCGGAGAAAATGTCAGTGGGTTCGGAGGTCCGAGGCAGCGCTAAAAACTCGCGATGACGCGCTACAATTGCAACAAAGCTCCAATCCTACAGAAGCGCACGCAGCCGCAGACGGGAATCGATCGGCACCGACCGCTTGTGTATTGAGAGTGACGCAGGAACAGGAGAGCAGGTGCTGCCTTCACACAATCTGGTACTCTCCCAGAGCCCTTGCGGCCACTACCAATCGATGCCAGATTGCAGGATCAGGCAACGCGTGCTCTCCTCTTCCCACGTACTCTCTCAATACACAAGCGGCTGGCGCCTATCGATTCTTGTCTGCGGTTGCGTTTGCGTCTATAACACTGGAGCGTTGTTGCAGCTTGCATTGCAGCTCAAACGCGCGTCATCGCGAAGTGTAAACGCTGCCTAGTCGTCACCAGCCTTCCAAGAGAAGGCGACCCCTCCCCTTTCCAGACCCGGAAACAAAGCCTTTGCCAATCATAACTTCGCTCGCTGCGGTACCTCAGAGGCACTATTTGGTAATCTCATTTGGCTGAGCCTTTGAAATCGAGAAAAGAAGAAGAGAAAGGAAGAAAGTAAAGAAAGAAGAAGGAAGGAAAAAACGAAAAGAGGAAGAACACAGGAGAAAGGAAGCTTAACGGCAGGCAGATGCTTTGGAAACTTCAGGCTCAGCCTCAGAGAGAAAGGTGAGTCAGCGCGCCTCATTCTCCCTCCTAGTTCTAGCAGCACCCGGGTAGTGTGGTGAAAATGTTCAGTTTTTGCCTGTAGCGACTCAAAATGATACGGTATGACAAATAAGTGCCGCTCGTTCGGCGCCTTACTGTGGCTTATATAAATAAGAAAAAAGCGAGAAGTAGCATAAGGCTGTTCATTTCGTCACGGCTAAGAATTCCTCCACGATTTTCGTTCGAACTCCCAAAATCCAGGATAGTAAACATGTGGGTGCTAGAT